GCGCTTGTCCTTGTACACCTTGAGCAGCTCCATGGCGCACTGGTCATAGGGCACGAAGCTGCGCACCTCCCGGATCATGTCCCGCACGAACTTGGTGTGCTTGGTGAGGTGCCGGCGCCGCCGCCGCCTATGTCTGGGCTTGCTGACGTTCTTGGTCACCTTGTGGCCCTTGTTGAGGCCCACGGCCATGGGGTAGCGCAGGGCCATGGCTGCTGCTCTCCGATGGCGGCCACGACCAGAGGAAGGCAAGAATTTTTTTAAAATAAAAAATAAAAGAGCATAAAGTTGGAAAGGAAAAGGGGTGGGGAGCAGTAGAGGCAGTTGGAAGGAGGGAGTAGATGGATATGGTCAATATGCATTGTAAATGTATAAAACTTCAAAGAATAAAAACAAATTATTTGAAAAAGAAAGTAAAATGTGGAAATTGGTCTATCCAGAAGCATCTTAATGCAGCATGTGATTTCTAAGACCAAAATTGACCTGAAGGGTTCCAGATATGGATCTCTCCCATAACACATAGTTTCAAGACTTTTTGTAAAATATAACATCAGAAAAAATGGACTATACATTTTTCCCCAGATGTACTAGATTTAATAAAGATGCAATGGTAGAATTCTGTCCTGTTGAGATTTCCCAATATATTTCCTTATAGATGATTATACACTCAACTGGGTGTGGTGTCACATACCTATAATCCTTGCACTATCAATGGGCAGACGGGGAGGCCCACAAAGGTTTCCTAGTGAGATCTGAGCTTGCTTTACCCAACAGAGGATGGCTTGACCACATGTGTGGTTTCCAGGTGATTGGAAGAGTCTGTACTTGGCTGTTCTAGTGGGAGATCTTTTGTTCCACCCCTTGACATTCCTATAAAAGACCCTTTAGAAGATACAGGAGAGACCGGTGGATATTGATCCATGTCCTCCTGAGGCTATCTTGTATTTCTATCTGTTTCTCTCCCCTCTATCTTTCTATCTAGATGTTTCTTTCTCCTCCCTCCTCAAGAGTAACCTGGGGAGAAATTGGGAGCATGTCTCCCACAGAGAAATGGGTAGGCCTCTCTCCCACAGGCTGAGGAAGAAACTGCTGCAGTTTCAGAGCAACCTGGGCTAGCAAGCATCAGGCAAGCATAGCTTGTAGAATGAGACCGTCTCGAAGAAAGTAAAACAAAATGACAATAAATTTCAAATAAATTACAACAAAGAGATAAGTGGCGAGGAAGGTAAAGAAGGGGATTTTCATCAGTCTGAGTCCATTGGGAAGAACATAAAAAGGCTCAGATGTGTCTTCTAGGTGCTGCATGAACTTTGAGATTTTATTGGGGGAAAACTATGTAGAAGGTTGAGCTTTGTGTTAGAGTCAGTAATCTTGGTCAGATGACTGGTGTCACAGATTATTACGATCAATCCACATGAGTCTATTAAATGGGTAACAGAATTTATTATGACATAAATTGAGGAAATACACTCACAAACACAGAATGGAGTAGACAGCAGAAGTTGTCCTCTGATCTGACCGGGAGTGAATCCACCTCCCAGGCAGGAGCAGGGAGAAGGGGAACAGGAAGTACCGCCTCCTTTGGGCTGTATAGCCTAAGGTCATGGGCTGAGCAAATACCACCACAAGAGATCATTACCACAATTCCAGTCCTGTGAACTGTTCTGGAGAAGTTGTTACCCCTGTAATCACTTGAGGGAAGCAATCAGTTTTCCATGAGATGATTGCCTCTGCTCTGAGGGCACAGGCTTAGCTCCTGTTGTGGGAATGATCTAATCTCATTCTGGGCTAATCTATTCTGTGAGGTTCGCGATTGCTTGGGAATAGTTTTGTGAGCATTTAATAAAGACGTGATCACACTAAGTCCTTAGTGACTTAGAACAAAAATTATTTTATTGTTTTAGGATTTTGCATATGAGAATTTGGGCAGAATTTTTCTCTGTGCTTCTATTACATCATGTGGCAACCATAACACTGTCAGAAGTTCCCCACTGGCTTTAATAGGCATGAGGGACCAATAGTAGCTTCTTCATCATACTAGCACCTTGGCTGTAATGACTAGAATGTCTGGAAACCTAGGCTCAGAGATCAAGTGAATTACCTACACACAGTTTTTGAGTTATGGTCATAGTCATGTCTCAACAATGACAGACCAGAAAACAAACTTGTCTTTAACACAGAGAGGTGTGAAAGGCTTGAAGGAACATTGTAGAAAATGGAGCAGGTGTGTGGGTGAGTAGGGGTACATTTGGAGCTGTTCAATAACAATGTCTTGGTTCCCTTTTCTCTGTGCTCAGCTGATTCTCCAAATGAGCCTCTAAAGAGGCTTATCTTAGTGCCTGCTTGATCTCAGAGCTGAGGCAGATAGGTACACAGGACTTTGAGGGGGACAAAGTGAGCAGGTAAGTAATGGAAATTCTGTCATCTCACATCACAAGTGAAAACTAAATTAAAAGTACTATAGACCTAATAGTCAAACATAAATTGATAATACTCTGAGAAATAAAAGAGTAATAGAAAATGTTTGTGGCCTTATTGTATGTAAGCTTTCAGGACAATAAACAAGCCAAACCAACAAAAATGAATGAGAACCATAAAAAAAAAAAACAAATACAAACAAGCAAACAAAAACACAGTTGAGTGGACTTTATGAAAACTGAAAGCTACCCCTTTGGAAAACACTGTTAGGAAAATGAAACAAGATTTTTTTTTGTGTGTGTGTGTGTGTGTATCTGTGTGTGAGACAAAAGACTTGAATTCTGCAAACAAAGAGCACCTGCAAATGTAGCAAATGAACTAATTTGTAAAAATTTAGGAAAATACTTGATAAAATACTTCATTAATTAAAATCACAGCGGGACATCGGGAGACATCCTCCCTAAGGCTAAAATTACAGTGACAGAAATAACAAGCATTGGGAAGAAACTGGAAAAAGACGAATACAAAGCTGTTGGTAATATAAAAGATACTGCTTTGGAATGCTGCCAGTTTGTTTTCTTTTATCAAGTTAAGCATATACTTCAAACACAATGGCACAGTCTCAGACATCTGTACCCACACAAGGAGAATGAAAACTGTTACATAACAGAAACTCCAAGCTTCTCATAGCTATGCTAGTTTTCCAAGGCTATATGATATTTTGTAACAGACTTAGTGACTTTATCTTCTCCTGCTTTAACTTTGAAATCAAAGTGCTTTCTAAGTTTAAAGCTCTGAAGACTTCCTTCTCTCCTTCCTTGCTTCTATGGTCTGGCAGCAGCCATTGGTGTTTTTAGGTTGTTAATTGCATTCCTGCAACTTTCCCTTCTGTCTTTACACAGCCGTGTTCCTTGTAGGCATGGTAGCCACTCAGTGTCTCTTCTCCTTTTCTTTTAATGATATCAGTCTTATCAGATTTAGACCCATTTCACCCCATATAATATCACTTTAATTAATCATATCTACAAAGATTCTATTTATAAATAAAGTCATATTCTGACATTCTCTGGAGATATAAAATTTTCAGGGACACTATTGTACCCAGTATAGTCGACATCTCAAATTCACACACACACACACACACACACACACACACACACACACACACACACACACACATTAATTATAAGCTATGTCTCAAATTCACACACACATATATACACATACATATACTATAAGCTACATCACACCATCCCAACATCTTAAATAATTTGGTCTTATCCTACATTAGTTCTGTATTCCATTTGAATGTCACCTCAATATGGATCTGATCATCAAAATCATCAAAATTAGATATGGGTAAAACTACGGGTATGGTCCATAATGGGACATGGCTGTTCTTCATCTACTGACCT